CGTGTGCCCGGCATTGCAGATACTCTGATCTATTACAATATCAGTGTAGCTTCCACTTAAGAATATTTCTTTTCAGTGCCTGTCTATTTCATAAAGGTGCTTTCAATGCATCGTGCGTGCGTGTATGTGCATGTGTGCGCGCGTGCGTGCGTGTGTGTGTGTGTGTGTGCGTGCGTGTATTTGGCGCAAAACAGAGTAAATGCGCATTTTATTGGAATAAATTGAAATACGGCAAAAGATTGATCACTTTCCTATAATGTCTATGCGCAATTCAATGGGCCGTGCGGTTTCTCGAAAAATTGTGAGGTGTATCCCGACGCATTTGAAAGCAGCACATTCCTTAGCGAAGCTGCGGAAGCGCCAACGAAAGAAGAGGGAAGGAAAAAAAAAGGGGGGGAAAATAAATGCCGTGAGTTTGGGAAACCGCAATTCCCCGAAGTAACTGTTGCATTTTAATGTCGCGGCCGAACTCGCTGGAGTCACGCTCGCTTAAAAATCTGGAACGTTCCTCAACCTTCCATTATGAAAGGGCGCATGATTTTTTCACGATCGAACCGAAGTCGTCGCTGGGAAGTGGGAGTTTCGTCGGTGGCTTGCAAAATTCCTGTCGCGGGAGAAAAACGATCTCGAAAGGCAGACGCTGCTATTCGCGACGCGCGAGAGCACCCGGGAAATGGAAGTGCTGGAACGATGACGAGAAGGAATGCGAAGGGGCGGCTGCAATTGCTTCGCTAGTCACCGTCGCGCAATAACTATTCGTTACTATAGCAGCTTACTTCGTTGAAGGGTACGAAGGAGAGTTTTTAAAGATTACTCGGCGCACGAATAGTTTTCCGCCCGGTATTCTTCCTCTCTCGCCCGCGTTCTTCTCTCTATCATAGTCGACAGCGAAAAGTATTTTCTCTCTTCAGCTGGTCCGGGCTCGGTCCGGAGGATTGTATTTTTCTATTATCCAAAATGATGACGAATTGCATTTTTGCACGCGAACGGTGCGCGCCGGAGCGCGCGTCCCGTACGAAAGAGTCCAACTTTCCGATCGCCCGAAAATCAGATTGTAAATCACGCTTTTGCGCACTCCTGAGAGCGTGTCAAACCTCGCGCAAGTCAACGCAAGTAAGTGGCGCTTACTCTCGAGTTAATTAAATACGCACGCGAGGAGTAGTCCCGAGTCCCGCGCGGTTAATGAAGATTACTCTATACGCCGCATTAGTACTAGCGCTGTACATTATTAATAGAGCAATCATCATTAACCTCGAAACGTGCCTTTTAAAAACATTATGGCGGTCGGCAAGGTGCTCGGAGCGGGCTATTAACTTTACTCCGGTGTTAGCCGCTAGATTAAAGCGAGCAAACAGCAGCGACTTGGCCAAAGGCGCGAGTAATCCTATCGCCGACCCTTCACGATTGTCGACTGTTGCGACTCGTTCGGAACTCTCTGTGAGTCGTATTCGTGAGAATGCGGAAATTAGTTTTATGAGCTCTCCCGGCTCTCCCCGAGCCGGGAGCGAGAGAGAGAGAGAGAGAGAGAGAGAGAGAGAGAGAGAGAGAGAGAGAGAGAGAGAGAGACACCGATCAACCATTAGCCCTCCGCTATTTCTGATATCAGCATGCCAAGGTTCAAACACGTGTAACGAGGGTTAATGTAACGTCGCCCCAGTTTTCCTTCACCCTTGTGTTTCCTGTCGCCGTAGAGGACAAATTTCGTTTGAGGGACCTACACGCAACTTGCGAAACTACGCGCCAGAGCGGAGCATCCTCGCGTTATCGGGTTATATCGGGAAAGTTTGACGAGGAAAAATAAATAATTGCTAAACGATATAGACAAAGAGATCCTCTCCCCTTAAAATTCACATCTTTGTCGGCGAAGTCTTGTTGCAGTGACATCAACAATCAGATATTAATACACCTAAAGCGCGTCGAAGCGCTGGACCGTGCTTTGTTTCAGAGAGAAAGAGAGGGAGAGAAAGAGCGGTAAAATATTGATTGCGGATAAAATTGTAATCAGTTATGGACAGTCACGTATCAGGCCTTTTCGACAAACCTCCTGTTATCGATTCGTAAATATTCATATCAATTATGTGCCGCAAACAGTTGCCGGGACTCCGAAATTTAAAGCCGGAAGAACGTAAATGCGCTGTCCGACCGCTTTCAAGCTGAATTCATCAATCGCACCTTGTACACGCGTACAAGACCGCGTCGTTACAGATCGTAACGTTCTTCCGGCGGAATATTTTATGCCGTTTCAATATGAAACGACCAAGAGAATCGTTTCACCGGTCACATTTGCATGTTGCCCCTTCGATTTTGCCACGATGCCGCCCAGAAGAATCGTTCGCTCTCTCTCTCTCTCTCTCTCTCTCTCTCTCTTCCTTGTCGGACGCTTCAAGCGCTCCCTTAGTAACAGATTGCACAGTCGTACGCGGAAACGTATAATTGCGCTATTCTCCCAGGCGGCGCCGCGCGCAAAAACTCGCTACTCGATCGACCATCTGGCCCGCATCTCGCGCGAGAATAAGAGCTTTATAACTCGAGCGCGCGGAAGACGGCCCATAAATAGATAAAATAGCGCGACCCGATAGACATCATAAACGATTTACCAATAACGCGGTCGCGCGCGTTTACCCGCGTGCCTTTCACCGTTCGCGCGCGCTATTCAGGGAACGATTCTAAAGTCGGCCTGCCGATGCGGAGGGAAAAAGTGCTTCCGGAGAATCGAGCAAAAAGCACTCTAATATGTCTCTGATCATCTGAGGTGAACTTCGAGTCAAGCGCCGCAGCAAATGCTATAAATCTCAGCCAATAATTAGCCAGGGAGACTGAGTTACTGCCGCTTTCAATCGTCCTCGTATACGTACGATACTGCGACGTGCGCAACACAAACGTACTTATTTTCTTGCTCTTCTCTCTCGACGCCGCTTGATATCCGTCCTTTATGTGCTCTAGACCCGTATCATCTTCAATCTTACTTGTTTGTTCGTTTCCTAGCTGCACACACACACACACACACACAGACACACACACACACACACACACACACACACACACACACACACACACACACACATGTGTATATATGTATTACTCTAAAGCCAATATCGGGCACAAGGTGGAAGCAAAATAACTGAAGTGGCCGATGCTTATTCCGCGCAACGCTGCACGACGATTCGAGCCGCATATGTGTCTGCTTTGGCATTTATGGGGGCATTTATACTGGCTGGTGGTTATATAGCGGCGCAGCAAGGGCTGTTAGGGGTGCGATACTATCGGCGGAGGCACCTCCAATCATTTCCCAATTAGCAGCTGATTGCGTACAGTCCCCGATAGAACTTCGAGCAGCTATAGCGACCGTTAACTGAGGTCCATGCGCGCGCGAGAGAGAGAGAGAGAGAGAGGGGGGGGCGGGGCGGGAGAGAGAGTCAGAATTCTAGATAGGGTGGAAGGGAAGATAGGGTTGGAAGTATGGGTAGACAGTGGAAGGGAGCGATTTGCAACGTTAATATCCAACGATGCGGAACGGCTCGGGCGCAATATCGGTGATCGCGCAAATTACGATCGGGAATGGCGATCTTTATACACGGACTCATGCGCGGGATAATATAATGGTGTCATTAAAGATAGCGCCGCCATTCTACGGTCGTATTGTTATTGGAAAATCGTCCGCTACCGTCGTCCTTCGGGGCGGAGGTGAGCCAGGGTGGGAGTTAAGTCCCATTTTTATAGCCCGCCGTTTGATCCCCGCTTTTACGGCCGCGGATGATGGATTCCGCTGGAATTTTCATCTCTGCGGACGTAGCTGATTGTTGTTGAAATGCAAAAAATACGGGGAACGAAAGAAGGATGAAGAACGGAATGTTATTAATTTGTGTTACCAGCTCGTGATAATTCAATCCGTTCATTGTGTGTCCTCGTTTCCCTTCATACTGAAGATTGCTCGCTACGTCAAAGAATTAATTATCTCTTTGATAATTGATATTATTAGCATCGTTAAAATAGTAACAAGCCGAGCCGGATAAAAACGCTCAAAGGATAAAATACTTTTTGGCCAAGTGCGTTTCCTTTATGGCTGTGATTTTCAAACTTTTTCATCATGTTGCACGCGTATCATAGTCACGTGTTCCGCGGCGCACTTCATACCGTCATAGCTATTAAAAACTGTTTTCATTTTTCCCCCGGTGCAGTCCAATTGAATTAAACAAGTCGGAATCTCCCGCCGTATAAAATTAAACGTCGTCGTGTTAGAAAAATAAATGACAATCAGTCTCCGCAAATATCAATTTTGGCGATTTGATTAATCTCGAGTCTCTTGTGTTAGCGGCGATCTCTTCGATTTAATTTCCTCCTTTTTGTCGACGGCAGACACGGGCCATGAAACAAATTTCGCCGAAAATATACGTTGCTTAACAAGTAGCAGAGAATGGAAGAATAGAAGAACTCGATTACAGAGCACTGCGCCGAGGGGTAGGAGGTGTTCCATTTATAACTATTTCGATCCAACGGAGTATTAAACTGTCTAGACTACGAAAAAAATGTTTCTGGGTACGTCCTCCTGATAGGCTTTCACTTCCGCGGATATAAGCAGACTAATATAGACATTTTCTCGGATATATCGAATGCATGATTTGCTGTGAAAGTCGTAATTAATCCACCTTAAAGTCACACATAAAGTCGTATTCATACGATTACTTTCATACGATTACTTATAGCCTGATTTTGCGCCAGCAGTATTCTCTCCAAGTCGAGAGAGACGAAAGCTCGCCAGTCGGGCGTTAATTGGTCTAAGTAAGTAGCCGAGATATCAAAATATCGACTATACGGTACAGCGCTGTCGAAATAACTGTGCGAACGCATCTCCCCCCCCCCCTCGTCGAAGCGTCTGCCTGTCGATTGATCGCCGCAGCCTCCTTTTTCGGTTTTCTTTGAACCATCGGCGATACGAGTCACTCCTTCGATCCTTCAGACAAAAGACCGTCGCCTTAGGGTTTGCGTTTTTTATGTTGCAGAATTTGGCGACCTAGCCGTTGCAACCTATTGTTTCTCGGAAACCGGTAGTAACGGCGGCGACGGCAACAACGACTATGACTAGGATAGCGACGGCGACGGTGACGGCGACGCCGACGGCGACGGCGGCGACGGCGGCGACGACGTCGATGCTGACGGCGACGACGGCGGCGACGACTGCGACGAAGGATCGTCCGAACATGAAGTCCACTACGTACCGACGCGGAAGCAGCTGGCAGGACAACGATCCGGACGCGAATTATTCAGAAGGCCCCGAAATCACCTCGAGACGGCGAGACGCCGCGCTCAGCTGCACCCGGTGGCGCGATTCATCGTCACCTGACAGCGTCGTGCTGGAGGACAACGGTGGAGTGACGATACTGAGAGCGTGTTGAATGTCGCGAGCGAGATAGTGAGTGCCTGCTGTGCAGCCGCGATCGACTGATAAGACGTGTCCGCCGGGCTCGGTGACACGGTACTGACTTTTTTTCTACGGGTGGACCGAGTGAAATGTCGTGACGTCGCGACGGCGTCGCGCGACGAGCGGGAGCTTATTGTGGGTCGAGAGGGAAGAAGACGAGCCGCGAATGTCGAGTCTTTCTGCACCTTTGCGTTTTAACACAACCGAGGGCTTAACGGGACGTAAGCGTGCGTTTGAAATTTCAAATTGTCATTGTCGCCGCGCGGCGGCTGGTTGAGTGAAATTTTCGTTCCGCTTCTCGTGACGGTCTACGAATGTTCTCAGCGACGATTTCAGGCAGCCTTCCAAGCAAGCAATAAACGAGCGAATGGATGATTTGGTACACGAGCATCAATAGTTACTTTTACGCGCGTGCTCGAGCATTCCTTGACCGAAATTCCTCGCTAGCTCTAAACGCGCGCTCGCGCGCAGCATTCCTTGAAAAAATTCTTCTTACAGCATGCGCGCGCTCGCGCGCGAGCTCGCCTTACGTCGCGATCACATGCATTCGGAAAATTGACCGCTTTATTGCTCGCTCTTACGTCTTCTTTAGAGAATTTCTCGTACATGTCTACGAAGAAACCGGGGGTACAATTACGCGAGGGAACGAGAAGTATTTTCGAGAGCGAGCGTTTCCCTTGAAAAGCAGACGGGTTTAGGTGCTCGCTGCGGCGAGCGAGCCTGTCGAATGAACACGCTGAAACGTGAAATTAAGGAAAACTACAGGCGAGGCGAACAAGAAAAATGGAACTTGGCGAACTCCCGTCGGGCACGCACGCGTTTTCGCGTGCCCCGGGCGAATTACGAAGATATTCTTACGTACATATTTATATTTGTCTCTCTTGACGTTCTGTTCCCGCGATCACACAAATCACACAAATTATCGCGATCCTCCCCGGAATCTATTTTACGCGCGTAATGGCGAATGGCGAATTTCGGGAAACGCCGCGTGAATAGCGCCCGGCGGGAAAAAATATGCTGAAATATACGATCCCTGCTCGCGCGCTCATCCTAGTCGCGCGTACAAAAAGACGCGCGATGTGTACACGTTAAGACCGTATCACACTAGCGACTCGCGACTGCGACTGCGGCTGCGATTGCGATTGCGACTCTTCCTCGACCACTCAGAAAGCAGCGACTCGCGGCTGCGACTCGCGACTGTCGCTTGGACGGCTTTCTCTGATCGGTCGAGGAAGAATCGCAATCGCAATCGCAATCGCAGTCGCGAGTCGCTAGTGTGATACGGTCTTTATGCGTGTACCACACTAGCGACTCACGACTGCGGCTGCGGTTGCGATTGCGATTGCGATTCTTCTTCGAGCAGTCAGAAAGCAGCGACTCGCGGCTGCGACTCACGACTGTCGTTTGCACGGCTGTCCATTTTTCGAGTCGCAGCCGCAGTCGCAACCAATCACGGAACTCCGTATAATCACGTGACGCGCTCGTCATAATCACATTTATTTAATAGTATGTAGAAGTGGGTGATCATTAAAATAAGGTTATCTCTAGCGTTGTTTTATGTGTTACATATTTTTTTTAAATGTCGAAACAATTTAATAAGGAGATGGACTATTATTTAGTAGATCTCGTAGAATGTAAACCCCTTCTCTGGGATTGTACGTGTGACAGTATGTTAACAGTATTTAGCCGCAGCCGCGATCGCCAATCGCAAGTGTGATTGGACAACAAGAAATCGCAATCGCAATCGCAGTCGCAGTCGCAGCCGCGAGTCGCTGGTGTGACACGGTCTTTGCGTGTTAAGTCCCCAGCATTTGCGTTTGTGTGACACTTCGATCTCGCGAGGATCGTGACGTTTGATTCTTCGTTCGATCGTTAAACGTGACGCTTCAAACAAGGGAAAAACGGACTTTATATTTCGCGGTAATTCTTACGATATCACGTTACGCGGAGCCCGCGGCCGCTTATGAATATTTCACGAAGTCGAAGGTCGCCTCTGAATTTGTACGAGGCGGAGGAACGAAGCAGGCATATATAACAAATTTATCGAACGCTGGAGATGTGACAGAAGCGCGAACCGAAGAGTGAGTGAGTGAGTGAGAGAGAGAGAGAGAGAGAGAGAGAGAGAGGGGAGGGGGAGGCATCCAACAAAGTAGAAAAAGTCGATCCCTCGGCGACTCGGGCACGCGTCATCGCGTGTTTCGAACAAATTAGCGATTCCTGACTCCGCTATAGCTGATTTATTCGTCGCGGTATGCATCGTTCAACAAATTATCTTCGTTCCCGTCGAGCACGTGCGCTGTGAATTGAATATGTGCAAAAATTGCCGGGAACAGCGCGTAAAAGTTTTGCAGACGGAAGGGCTTTAATCAATTCCCCGAGTGCTAATAGAAAGTAACTTTTGGATGGTAACTCCCATCCGCTAATTTAAATTTATGAGAGCCTCGCGTTAGTTATCGGTATAGCGATTTGTTGTTGCTGCAGAGCCACAGAGAGGGGGGGAGAGAGAGAGAGAGAGAGAGAGAGAGAGAGAGAGAGAGAGAGAGAGAGCTCTATTGATTTTTATTTATTACCAAAGTATTCTTACGTGTGCGTGTGTATTAGCCACGAGACTGCGCTGCTACCGTCTGCGTGTGAGATAATTCGATTCAATGTTTCAAAGCGTCGGGAATTGGTCGTAATCAATTTTATCAGCGATCAGTTTCGCATAATTTTAGATTCATTAATCACCGCCTTTCGCCCCGCGTATATCCGCTTATCGTTTTTATTTGTTAGACACGTGTATGCCTCGCGCTTTCAAACTATAGCCGGGTTATAATGTGGGCGGAGGTTAACGAGACTAACGCGCTAACGATGCCAACATTAATTACCGCCCCCGGATAGACCGCCTAATCGTCGGGCGAGTGGACACGCTAATTACGCGTCTACCCAATCATCGAGCGAATCCCAATTCAGAATCGGTGAGAGAAATCGCGGAGCCCGAGATTGAGCCCCTCGTTGCTCGGACATTCGTAACACAGCTTGTGCATTTGTGCATCATCTAACGCGCACGAGTTCTCTCGATCCATCAATACAGCCGAGCCATTACTTAAGAAGATCGCCGCTCTATTATTATTAGACACCGCGTAGGGCCGCGAGACATCGGCGGAGCTACCGGTGACGCGGCGCATTGTCAAACCGTTATCGGTTATTTCATTACCGCGCCTCATTTGTCTCAATTTCAATTTCGATTTCGAGTACCGGCAGAAATCGACAGTGCGCAGTTCGCAAGTCGCCGCGGATAACCGCGTCGATTTAATCTCTCACGAGATTAAACGTGTTTGTGTGTGTGTGTGTGCACGGATATTTAGTTTACTGATTATTCGGATGGAATGATATTCAATGTGATATATACGAGGCGTTTCTCATTTTACTGCGTTACGCGACGAGTACGACCGGAACTGGTCGCGTGCATTTTATTTTATATACGCCAGGGAAAACGCTGCATCGCCGCCCCTCGTTATGGAGCTTTTGTGTAAAATATAGCAGAGTGAGCGGGAAGAAGAAGAAGAAGAAGAAGAAGAAGAAGAAGAAGAAGAAGAAGAAGAAGAAGAAGAGGAAGAAGAAAAAAGACGTGAAAGTGCACTAGATATTAATCTAAAATAAACCACTTATTACGGACCGAAATAGCATTTTATAAATTAATAACGCTTGTCGCGCGGTGAACGACACAAACAAAAATATCGTTGGCCTAAATAGGGAGCGGCGCGACGTTTTCCGTGATGTGTGTGCATACTTGTGATACGTGTGACTGCGCGCAGAATTAATCACTTAATATCGTCAGTACTAAATAATACGTATGAAAAGAAAAAGAAAACGACAAAAAAAGGAAAAAGACAAAAACATTTGTATGAGGAATTATACGATTATACGATACGCCGTGAATTTTTCATCGAAATGTACAAACGCTTTTCCTCCCCCCCCCCCTTCACTCAGCCGACAAGCGGATTCTCGAAGGCGTGTGAGCGCGCGAGCGTGACGTCCGCGCAGATTCGCGCGTCCGATAAGAGCTCGAAGAGTCAAAAGATACACGACCGGAGGAACGCAGTGTGCTGCAGTCTAGATTAACGATAGGTAAACGAGACACTTAATTCTCAAGATAGAGAATTTCCTACATAGCAGGCGCACGCAAGCGAGCGAGCGAGACAAGACGCGACGGCGCGGCGCGCCGAATCTAATCGCTTAAGGCACACACATTGACACTATTCAACATACACACGCACACACACACACACACACACACACATCACATGACATCACAGCGCGCGATGCGGCACGTGTGACTTTGTAAATATTCATACAAGTGTGAGTGAGTGAGAAATACGTGAGGGCATGTCGATCCGAGAGAGAGAGAGAGAGAAATGCGAGGACGCGACGCCTCGCTCTATTCTCTCATTTTCTCGTGTGACGGAAACGAATCAACGAATAGAGCCGCGCGATGATTGTACTGCCGATCTCCGGGTTCGAAGGAGCGACGATCGCGTGAGCTTGGCTTCCTCTCGCGTGTGTCCGTGTGCGTGTGCGTGTGCGTGTGCGCGTGCGTATACGTTTGTCTTTCTCTTTCCGTACGTACGAGTGCGTGTGCGTGCGTGTGTGTATGTGTATGCAAGTATACGTATGTGTGTGTGTGTGTGTGTATGTGCGTGTGACGACTCGTGCGAAAGAGAGCAGGAGGCGAGAGGGAGCGGGGTGGGAGGGCGGAGGGTACTGCAGATGAGAGAAGGTGTAATGTCCAGGAAGAACGAGCGCTCGCGATCGCGGGAGTACTTTCCCGGGCTTGTCCAGGCGTGCGTGATGACGTAGATGATGAAGAGGTAAGAGAAGATGAGCGCGTGTAACACAGGGTAGACAATAGGGACCATCGAGAGAGACTGCTACCAGGAGCGAGCGAGCGATGGTGCGGCTCGGCGATGTTCGTTTCATGAATATTTCAACATCCGACGACGACGGTAAATACCGAGCGTCGCGAGATTATGTCCCCGCGCGAGCCAGTCGACCCGAATACGCGTCCATCGCGACGAGAGCTTCCCACGGAAGATTATTATCGCGACTCTGTCGCCCGGGCGACACGAGAGAAAGAAAGAGAGAAGAGACAGAGAGACACAGAGAGAGAGAGAGAGAGAGAGAGAGAGAGAGAGAGAGAGAGAGAGAGAGAGAGAGAGGGAGAGAGAGAGAGAGAGAAAAGGGACCTCGGCCGAAAAACATCGTTCCAGACGACCGGCGCGTGGAACTCGCGCAAATTACAAGCTCGCGTATGCATATAACGCACCGCACGCACTTGGCTCGAGCGAAAGTCCACCGATATTATTCCGCCGACATGGATCTGCTCGCGGCGGTGCTCGGAAAACACACACACACACATACACACAGTCCGCGGCGGGAGGCTACCTTTTCGCAGTTGCGCGCAGCTTGTATTACATTTCGAAGTATAATGAAACGGACGAGCGCGCCTATATGTGTGCGTACGCACACGTGGCGCGTGTTGTGTTTTCAATAGGTGGAAAATACCTTCGCGACGGCGAGTCTAGAAACGCGGCTTCCCTCGGGCGAGTCTTTCGGCCGAGGGGCGTAATCTCGATTCCGCGGACGCAGCGCGCTAGAGACGGGCCGAACTTTATTACGAAGGGGCGACGCGCGGTCGCCCGACGATCCGCGAGCGGTTCCCGCGATCGACCGTGAACGAAAATTCATTCGAGAGGCCGAGGTTAGGGAACGGGGTTAGGGAACGAGCGAGGTCCCTTGGCCGTCGCAGGAACGGGTCAATAATAACGACCAAGCGGCGGCCCTGACTCGACTCGACTCGACTCGACTCGACTCGACTCGCGCAGTTGAATCGCGCGTCTCGTCGAGGGGAACAGGCGGAGGCAGCGAAGGCAGGGAGAGAACATGCCACCTGTTACACCCTCGCCTTCTCGGACTCTTCCTCCCGGGCGGCGGTCGGCGTTTGAACGAACGTAAAGTCGAAAGTTCGAGGCCCCTTCTCTGCGCGCTCCTCGCGCGATGGAAACTGGCTATCGCGGAATGTTTTCCGAGCGATCCGCCCAAAGTTTTTCGCTCAGGGGGATGCTATCTACGACGCGACTAATTCAATCCTTCTCATTCGCCCGTTATCACGCTCGTTGCATGATTCATCGCGCCGATTTACTCGCGCGTGAGAAAAATTCACCTTTGTGTTGTCCGAACACGTGTAGGGACGACAACGACGAAGGGGTGACGAAGGAGGCGAAGAAAGTTCGCTCGCGTAAGGAGAGAGAACCGAGAGAGGAGAGGAGATCTTCGAGACTCGAAATCACCGCTGGAAGGCTCTTACATTCGCGGCGCGTACATTCGCCGCCGCCGTCGCTCTGCTCGCTCCTGAGCACCGGCGATCGTGACGCACCAACTATTTCGTGGCAATTTCTTCTTCGAGATATATTCGTCCACGCGAACCGCGAGTGGACCGACTTGTCTCGGCGAGGCGAATCGTGAAATCGTGCGAGATGGTCAAACACAATAAGCTTGGAACTATGTACTTAACATGATAAACCACGTTCGAATAAAAATGTCACATAATACCATTGCCTGCTTTCATTTCCCCACCGCCACCGCTGCCGAGGATTACAACCGTCGTCGACCGCTCGACGAGGATCCAGCGCGGACTTCGACAATCGTCGCGAGAGCATCGATCCCTCGAAATTAACGACAGCGCGCTTGCGATTCGCGTGCAACGCCTCGCGCGCGACAGAATTTCCGCGTCATTCCGGCGGTTTTTGTCCCCCCCCGCCATCTCCCCCCCCCCCCGTCCAAAGATCTCGTATCAATAAGCTAACGTTGCGCGAGGGAGAATTTAACGTCGCGTAGCTGCTTTTTCAGCCGTGTTACTTTCCATAAAAATGTCGGGCGCGATATATCAACTGATACGCGATCAATGCGGCGCTCTCGCGCCCGACTGAGCGATAAAAGCGGCCGCGGAATACAGGACGCGTCGGCGGCCTCGCCTTTTAGCGCATCGCACTTTCGAATGTATCGCGGCTTTTATCGCGCGCCGATGCGTTTTTCACGCTCGATCGGTACGACGGACCACTACTCAGTATATCCAGGCGCATGATGCCCCCCTCCCTGCCGCCCCGTCCCGCTCCGCCCGGCCTCGCCGGCGACGTGTATCAACCCCCTCGTGCTTTATCCAACCTATCCACACATTCTTGTTGCGCCATAACCATATAACGCGTAACCGTGTTAGCCGATAAACTACCGCACCGCGGCAAATCGATCGAGCCGGCCAAAATATGTCGGCGCGTCAAACGCAACCGCGTTTTTAACATTTCAAATGTTCCGCCGCTTTCCAGCGCGATCCATCGCGAAATAGCGTTGCGGCGGGACGGCCGCGGGTATTACCGCGGTGTGTCGGTGCTCCTCGCTCACGCTCGTGAGTCAACAAAAAAAAAAAGGGGAAAAAAAAAAACGGAAAAAGAGGAGAAAAATTTGCTGGCGCGCCGCGGTGCGTTGACGGAAATATA